CTGAGTTTGAAAACCCTCGTTGAAGATTTTACAAAATCTTAAATATTCTTAAATTATTTTAGTCTTCTGTTTAAACCAACTAGCACCCCGTGATGATGATGATGATGATGATGATGATGATGATGATGATGATGATGATGAGTGTTACTCCATCCATAAATGTGAGTCAGGGTTCAAATAAAGCACTAGCCAAAGTAATCCCATTACTGCACTCATCTCTAATCGTGTCGTCAAACTTCTTTCAGATGTGAAAATGTTCAAATGTTCTGAACTCAGAGTTCAGACAAACATTCATTTTGTGTGCAGCTGAAACATGCTGCTCACTGTCAGCTCCAGCTGTGAGTCCACAAACTGAGCTCAGACATCCATCACCTCACAGCTGCTTTAACCTCCTAGGACCTGCGTCCTCATATGTGGACGTCACATTTTGGGTTATTTAGACCAAAATACTCAATTTTGCTCTACAAGGGCCTGATATCCACTTACGAGGACATTATGCTGCTACTGTAATATCGAAATTTTAAACAAATATCCTCATACAGTATGTGGCTCTCACTTTTCCTTAAAAACTAAAATCAGGTAATTCTTTGTTTTTACATTCATCAGGTCCCAATCAGCCCAAATATCAAAGAGAGATTAAAAATGCTGCTGTGGAAGAGTTCGGGTGGTATGGGGTTAAAGCACCGCTCTGCCCATCATCAGATCAGGTATCGATCCCGGGACATCAGCACTGCTGTCTGCTGCAGAGGACAGCAGCGCGCAGTCAGCGCTGACACATCACAACTGCATCGGTTCACTTTGAAAGCAACGGCACTTATAATCATTTTAAATTCAATGAAGTGAGCGGTTGCATTTCTGTATAGACACATTCAGCAGCTCACATTTAATGAAAGCGTCCTTTTAAAGGCAGCTGAACGCTCTGTGATTGGCTGCTCTCTGCACTGAGTCAGCGATGTTCAGATGTGCGTCCGTGGATCTGAAACGTTTTCTCAGGCAGATTCTGAACGAGCTGCTTCTCTGGTTCCTTGCAGGGTCCTGGGTTGTTCTGGAGAATCCTGAGCCTGAACATAAGTCTGTATGTTTCTATGAGCTGTGCCCCGAGCACGGACACGTCCACCACCTTGTGTCCTTCAGGCCTCCTGCTCTGCTCTCACACTGCTGACTCTCTGAGCTCTGAATGTTCCTGTTTTATTCCTGATATCTCTGTAAAAACTACAACAGGAGAGGCCAGCGGTGATCGGAGGTCATGCTGCGTTAGAGGAAGAGAGGAAACCGGAGAAGCTGTGAATAATTAATAAGTGCTCCGAGACACCAGACGCTGAATGGGCTGATTAAAAGACAACGATACGATCAGCCTGAGACGGGGAGGCGGGGCCATGCTGCTGACCAGCAGAGCTGCGGCCTGAAAGTCGTTCCCACAGCAGAGCACTGATTGTGTCAGACGACAGTTACCTGTGATTGGGAGCTTATACACACTGAGACGCTTACATTCAGTCATGTGGGGGATTTAATATTCCTGGTATATAATCACACGTGTTTCAGATTAAGATGAAAGTTTAAAGTCACGCTCATCCAAACCTTTATTTTAGTCTGTTTCCCCAAACAGGGAGAGACGCCTGCTGAGCATGAACTAAAGGTTTGTCTCATAAATGTTCATGTTGAAGCTGAACGTTGAGCTTCTGCTGGTTCAGGGCTGATGAAGGACTGAGACGGCACCAACGACTGAGATACGAATATAAGAAATACTTT